CGTGAGATTTAAGCCACCGGGTCCGAGACGCGAACCGCAGTCGACTACGTGGGAGTCCAGTGACATAGCCATTACGCTAACTGCTGGTTCCCAGAATCTCTCATCTTTTAAAAATTGTCAAGGACTCCAAAGAACTCTTATTTATATAGATTGTATTTGTATTTACCTTATTTTAGAAATTAAACTGTAGACACAAGAAGATCGTGTAGCAGTTATACCACTGGACTCCCATATAGCCAACCGTGGTCCAAGTTCAGACATGGAGACTTGAAACTCACATCGTGCACATGTGTGTGTATGCGTGCCTAAGATCCAGGGAGGAGAATGGAGGAAAAAGAATTGAGGCTTCACCATCCCTCATGGGGGGTGATTTCTCACTTTCCCTTTCACTGTCTCTGTCCCTCTCTTTCTCTCCAGCGAGCGTATGTGCCCTAAGGCAAAAAAAAAAAAAAAAAAAAACTATACCAAAAAAAAGAAAAAAATTAAAACTTATCATTTAAAAATAGGCATTTTTCATTTCACTTAAAATCATAACATACTGGTCACATATTAATATGAAATCTTATGGAAAATATGTTTTCCAAAGTGAAAAGTAGAAGTATAGAATTGTTTTATAGCTTTGTAAATCTCTTTATGTCTGGCTTAATAGAAGATATTTGGATTCTTTTACTCGCATCCGCATCTGTATTTCATCTGTCTCAAAATTTTGTTTTGATCAAATAATATGAAGCAATCTGACTACATAGATAATTTAACCAGTAAAGGGACGATCTCAAAGGCTCTTTGCAAAGTCTTCTTAGGTACTCCTTGGGCTCTTTGGACCATATTTTGAGAACCTTTGACTTATGCAGATATTTACTGAATTAAACTTTAAACTAACAGAAAATGAAAGCCATTTAAACATTCAGCAGTATGTAATGATTTACATAAATGACAGTACATCTTTGAAATAAAATATTTTGCAGCTTTTAAAAAATAGTTTTATGGGACCAGCAGATGGTGTGGTTGAAAGCACTGTATTTCCACAGGGTTGAGTGCTTCAAGGACCCAACACTATGGCTTGAAAATCACTCTAGGAGTGTGTGTGTATAGCCATTTAAACATTCAGCAGTATGTAATGATTTACATAAATGACAGTACATCTTTGAAATAAAATATTTTGCAGCTTTTAAAAAATAGTTTTATGGGACCAGCAGATGGTGTGGTTGAAAGCACTGTATTTCCACAGGGTTGAGTGCTTCAAGGACCCAACACTATGGCTTGAAAATCACTCTAGGAGTGTGTGTGTATATACCGCAAATCCCAAGAGGAGAATGGATAAGGAATTATTAT